AAGAACTACTACTACCACCACTACTTCTACTACTACTACCACCACTACTACCACTACTACTACGACGATGACGACGACGCCGGCGACGACGACGACGACGAGGACGACGACGACGACGAGGAGGAGGAGGACGACGACGACGACGACGAGACGACGAAGACGACGACGACTACTACTATTATTATTACTACTACTACTGCTGCTACTGCTACTGCTACTACCACTACTACCACTACTACCACTACTACCACTACTAGTACTACTACTACTACTACTACTGCTACTAGTAATACTACTACTACGACGACGACTACTACTAGTATTACTACTACTACTACTGCTACTACTTCTACTACTACTACTTCTACTACTACTACTTCTACTAGTACTACTACGACTTCGGGCAGCACCTATAGGCCGGTATGAACTTGTTTACTTATAAGTAGCTCTAAGGTGGCTGTAACATGGTTTTAACCAGGTTAAGTAGAAAATAAACAGATATAAGTTGTATAAGTTGATGGGTACACTTATCTTATTTAAGTGCTCCTTACAGCTACTTGAAGTAGTTTATCTACTTGGCAAAAATTAAGTAAAAGTAAGTACGCATGGTTCGTTTATGAATAAGTAGCATAAGTATACTTAGTCCTACTTAGGTTATACTTATTTCTACTTGACCTACTTATTCTTTTTTCGTTTTTTTGAGTGTTGTTGTTGACTTCTATGTTTCAATTTGTGATTTTGTACTTTTTGCTTTTTCAGAAGGTTTGCAAAAGGTTAAGTTTTCGCAGCGCAGCCTGTTGGCATAGGAATTCATTGATAATTGGTCCATTTTGCAAAAATCTGCCCTTGATTGAGGTCAGTTTCGAAGGGAATGCCTTCCAAGATCTTCCAAGGATTCCATCTCTGGTTCTACCGCCAAGAAGAAGCCAGCCAAGCCAGCCAGTGGCAAGGTGCTCAAACGACAAAGTCTGAAATGATGAGCTGTCTAAACTCAGAGGATTGAAAAAGAAGCACGGCAAACGGGTCAGAGTTTGTGTGTGGGGGGACTTCATGAGCGGTGTGACCGCTTCAAAATAGTTTTGTGGTTTCATGAGCGGTGTGACCGCTTCAAAAAAGTTTTTGTGGTTTCATCAGCGGTGTGTGCGCTTTGGGGCAAAGTGGTTTAACTTATGCTTGCGCGGTACGCTGGCAGTTCTCATCTTTTCTTGGAAGCTTCCTGTCTTGCCCATGGGTCTCTATAGGTATCTCGAGGTTTCTTTATATAACTATAGGGTTTGTTCATGGTATCTACGGGTATCTATCAGGTATGTATGAGGTATCTATCAGGCATCTACAGATATCTATACAAAACTATGCCAGGGTATCTAAGGGTATCTTTAGATAACTATAGGTTTTGTACATGGTAACTAGAGGTATCTATCAGGTATCTATAGTATTTTCATCAGACTTTGGTCTCCATTTGGTCTGTGTTCGAGGAAAACTCTGGACATGAAGCCTTTTGGTTTGGGCTCTAGGGCCTGCCGTGTAGTCTTGAAAACTTGTTGAGCTCATGGCTGGTGCAGCCGAAACTGTTCCGATACAGCGGTGTGCCCGCTCTTGACACCACAAAGGCGGTGTGCCCGCTCTTGAAAAAGAAAAAACAGAGGTGTGCCCGCTCTTGGAAAAACAGCGGTGTGCCCGCTCTTGTGTAATATGAACAGCGGTGTGCCCGCTCTTGTAATATAAACGGCTGTGTGCCCGCTTTTATAGAGATAAACACAGTGGTGTACTCAAATTATCTGTGCATCGACATTTGTTGTGTTGGTGACAACATAAAAAGATTTGATTTCTTTAGACCAAATTTTTTTCCAACAACAAAACTCTTGAAACCAGCTTTAAAAAATAATGCGTCGCTAGATAGTATGTCCAAAATCAACATTTTCGACGTTGTGACTGGACCATTAGTTTCAAACCGCTTCCACTTATTTCTACTTGATTCTTCTTTTTTCTACTGACTAAGTAGAAATAAGTAACTTAAAACCACTTATTTTTTATTTCAGTTTTTAAAGTAAAAATAAGTTACTTCAAGTAGACAAGTTCATACCGGCCGAGAGGTAGCCCCTTCTACACCGAACCGGATTCGCACGCTTCAACGGCTGTGGGGTCGACTGCAGGAGGCAGAAAGACAACAACAGCATGGCCTTCGGCCAACGGATTCCGAAAAGTTGTGGCTGCGCATCCGTCATCGCCCAGACTACACTCTTGGCATGACTGCTGCCGATGCAGCGCGGCGGGTTGCCGCGCTCCAGGACGAATACTTGCAGGAGCGATTCCAGAATTGACGCCGCAAGTTGCGGTCAGATGATTGAGAAACTCTACAAGTGGCTCAGCCAAAAGCGTTCGGCGCCCGCGCGCACACGCAGTTTATGACGATGAACTCGGTCCGATGACCCAAGCGCTTCGTGCCCTCAAGAGGCCCTTAGGGTTTGGGACAGAGATCAGTCTGAAGCACTGTGGCCCTGGAGGCTTACCTGCGTCAGTATGGACTGCCACGCGGCCGTGGAGGCGTGGCCCCCTCTTGATCCCGTTCTTCTTTCTAAAACAGCTCTTGCGCAAGGTCGTCGTTCTGGTGGCGTGGACGGATGGTCGGGCCACGAAATTGGCGCCTTCCCCAAGGCTATGTGGGTGAGCGTAATACAGTTCTTTCACTGGTGGGAATGCTTGGCCACTTTTCCGACGGTGTGGACCTAAGCCAGGTCAGGCCCATGACAGACCAAGCGCAGCCTGCTTCCAAGCTCAGGCCCGTCAGTTCAAAGAGCACTTGGTGGCGCATGTTCATCGGTGCCAAGCTCAAGCGCCCGTCCACTCAGACCTGGCTCGAGCGCTCCCTTCCTGAAGGCCTGCAGGCGGTCGCAAAGGGTCGCGACGGTGCCTCGGCCTTTATGGTGTGGGGTGAAAGTTACGCTCAGGGCCAATGGATTGGAACCTTGGACTTGACCAAGCTTTCGACCACATCACTCCGTGTCGCGCAAAAGTCACGTTGGATTGGTACGGATTTCCCCAAGTGCTCTCCAGGGCTGTGTTGCGTTTGTGGGCAAGCAGAAAAGGTGGTTACGATGGCGTCGCGATGTCTTCCCTCAGGTTCGGAGTGTGACCACTTCTATACCCAGGGTGATGGGCTGAGCCCTCGTGTTATGAACTTGCTGAGTGGATCCAAAGCCAGGACCCTTCCACTCACCAAGTTGTGTTCTTGGACGACCGCGTTGGGATCCTCCATGGTATCATCAATCATGAAAACGCTGGAAGGTGTTCTTTTACGCATAGGCATAAAATTAACTACTGCCGCTCACACTGTCGACCACCGCGCCAAAAGCAGACGTGTCAATGCGTCCGGCAATTGTTTCGGCGGGCTGAGTCGGTCTCCAACGTTTCTGAGCACTTTGCAAACGCTTCGCCGGCGCTTTCCGCAGGAGCAGTGCGAAGACGCGACCGACCCTTTTCGGACTGACTGGACATGTGCTGGAGAACCCGCCAATCGCTTTCTGGCTTGCCTTAGTACTCAGACATCCATCAGTTCGTGGGATGGCACTGTCCTGCTTGCATATAAAAGCATGTTCAGATATTTCGAGCATTTTTCGAGACGCGCCGACATCTTTTTTCCAACCTTTTAACAGGGTTTTCTCATGTCATGAAAGTCCTCCGCCCTCAGAGTTCTCCAACCTAGTTGAAGTGTAGATTTCGTGGGAGGTGCGGCAAATGTGCTCTCGTATGCGCGCTCTCATGCGTGCTCTTACAATGTGCTCTCATATACTTTGTGGACCTTGAAATTTCAGCCGCAGCGCTTTGTGATCCTTAAAGTGCAGATCTCGTGCAGCGCTTTTCAAACCTTGAAGTGCAGCCTTCGTGGAAGCCGCAGCAAATGTGGTCAAATGTGGTCAAATGCTGTGCATGGAACGCCGTGGCATGTTATCCTGGTCGCAGCGGTGCTTACGACAACATTGGAAACTGGCAGGTTGCATTGCGAATCTTCCTTCTGATCGTTGGGTGCAACGAATCTCACAATGGTGCCCAGTTGGTCGGCGCTCATCTGGAAGACTTCCGTATACTTGGACATCCGTTCTTGAATCCTTCTGCAGATACAAGCAACTGGGGACGTGGACTGCAGCCGCTCAAAACACAAACTCGTGGATGTCTCACATGGATGAAATTATCAAATTTTGTTCCTCTCGAGATTCTCGGCCAGACCCGTAGATCTTTTGTTGTTTGCTGTTTTTCACTTTGTTCTGCGCCCTAAAGTGCGCTGCCTACGGGCATGCAGGGTCGAACTCGAACTGTGCTCTCACATGTGCTCCTGTGCAATTATATCATGTGCGCTCTCATGTCTGTGCTTTTTGCCGCCTCCACCGCCACCACCTTTGCCGCCATCACCGCCCCCATCACCGCCCCCATCACCACCATCGCCATCACCATCACCGCCACCACCATCATCACCATAGCCATCACCATCGCCACCATGACCACCATGATCGCCATCACCGCCATGACCACCATCATCGCCATCATCACCATCACCACCACCATCACCACCACCATCACCAGCAGCAGCACCACCACCATCACCACCTTCACCACCTTCACCACCACCAAAATCACGACCACCACCATCACCATCACCACCATCACCATCATCATCACCATCATCACCACCACCACCATCACCACAACCATCACCCTCCACAGTCGATCTGGACCAATGGTGGAATCGGCGGCGTACTTACTGTATAACTGTTTATTGTTTGTTCATATTTGTTGGACCCTTTATTTCACAGCTGAACCCAACCAAAGAACATCAACTACGCTAGTCATATCCAGTGGGAAGTGGAACCACCATGCAGGAAATGGAACCAAATTTCATCAGTTTTTATGCCTCTTGGTTCTTTACATTCTTGGCCCTCTTGGCCACCGTATGTCGAGCTAAAGTCACAGAAGAGGATTGTTTTGTTGCTTTTTGGTTTCATGAGGTTATGAAAACAAGCTGACCCGCACCCCGACTGCACTTCATTTATGACCATGGCCGCCCCTTTTTGGGTGGGCATTGAACCCAGTAGGCCAAGGACTTTTGATCTCTTCTTATATACATTCTTTTCCAACTCTTTTTAACCCATAAGCAGGGCCATGGCCGAAATCGGAAGGTCCCAGAGTTTTTGGCGGTGACATGATGCACCAAGGACAGGCCATCCAAAGCATCTCCGAGCGCCTCCAGAGGATTGACTTCGCTCTTCGGCAAAAGCCGGAGCGTGCCGGTGACCGAGCGGCCCGTGCCGTGGTCCAAACGAATTTGTGATGGTGAGACCAAGCACGCCAGAGGTTGTTTTTTAGTATGGTGTACTAGCGGTAGCCGGTATCCACTATATAAAAGATCGCCATGATACTCTGCTTTTCATGTGGCATAATCAGCGGGAATTGTCGCACAAAATGGGGGCGGACCCGGAAGACCCCGGGCAATTCTGTTTCCCATTCTGAGCCACACCATCTCAAGTTTTGAGATGTGTTGAGACAGCGGTTTCTGGTCGAAGTGTGAGCCAAAGTGCACGCTTTCACTGAAGGACGGGCTGCGTGCTGTGAACATTCAGGCACCAATGCAGCCTTTGAACGGCGGACCATTCGCCGATGCTTGGGAAACACCAGCGCACCGATTCACAAGAGACATTCCAGATGTGCAGATGTTCTCTCCCTCCATTCCCTGTTTGGGGAAGGGGCATGATCTTGCTGGTCCTTTTCCGGGGATTCTCCATACTGCTCCTTCCTGTGACTTGGAAGGCCAGGTGGTTTGCCTAGTTTGCCTCTCCAGCTTTAAAAGCTGCTTCAGCTTTTGAAAAACTGAAGTGGACGTTGGACATTCAGAAAAGCTACATCAGGCAGGATGTCTTTCCAAAAAGAGACCTACCGGTGTTGAGGGCCACTGGAGGGAGGGGAAGCACAGTGGAGTTGTGTGGCAACCGGATGGAGTGGCAGCTCGGCCCTGGTTTCATGGTCTGGAGGTGTGTCGTTTGGTGGGGAAAAATGGCAGCCCCCCACCTAAGTTCCAAAAAAATCAATCAGTTTCAAAGGCAAGAGAACTCTGAGGCAGTGGCAAGAGAACTCTGAAGAACAGCTGGGCGTTGCAGCGCAAACTTAGCAAGCATCAAGCATGCCAAGACTTCAAAAGTTGTCCTTTGCCAGATTTTGGCACTTCGACTGAGACATGCTGGCATTGCAGTGGATCTACCGGTGACCCGTCTCGGTAAACACCAGGTCCGTTGAGAATCCGGAGCTTGGTCTGACGCAAACCCATTCGAGCAGCGCGAGGTGAGAGGCGCAGATCCGAGCTCCGGCACAGTCCTCAGATGGGTTTGTGACGGGATGTCACGGGTGCTTGCGTGTGCATTCACTTTTTGACGATGCTCAAGGCTCAAGGCTATTCCGATTAGGTTGGAGCCCAGCGCTAGCCGCTAGTAGGCTGGAGGCCAGTGCTAATAGAAACAAAGAACAAGAAAAGGAAGAAAGGTGTTCTGGATAATTTTAAGTTAAAGTATGGTTTTGTTGTTGGCTTTTTGTGCGCGCCTACCTGAACCCCAAGTGGGGCGCAAAGGGAATTTGATTCTGTGCGCACCCATTTCTTTAGCCAAACCAAGTGTCGAATGGCAGTTCAGCCATACGTGAAAAAGACAGGGGGTCCCCTTTGCACAGATTCAATTCTTGGGGCTTTTCAATTCTTGCCAACGACAAACACCAGCTCAGCCTGAAACAGCATCAGCCGCAAGCTTCTTTATATACTGTACAGTAGTCAACTTTAGTCCAGTAGATCCCAGTAGCCCATTGAATTGGCTTTTCGTTCCACGGTTCTGTATGACAGTCAACGCTGCGCAGAGAGCTCCTGTGTCCGCGCATGTCCGGCATGCTTGGTGACGAAGGGCTGCAGCTGGAGAGGATCGATCTGAGCGGAGAACTGGGGACCTTGAAGCTGCAACTTGTCCGCACGAGGCCCGGGCTGAGAGAGGGCCGAGGTTGCTTCAACTTGTGGTTTGTGGAGCACATGGTTAGTTAGCTGTTTTGTTTTTTTGTTTGCGGACATTGGGAATCCAAATCTACCCACAGATTCCGGTCATGGTCTCTCTCTGTCACCTTCAAGCTGCCCCATGACGAGATATGATTTGTCATGTGGCCCAGCACAGATCTTACAGCTCTGCATGACATACAGATGTCGGCTTACAGACTTCCGCATGGCCGATGCGACCACAAGATCGCCTGATAAAGGATTTGTTGAGCAGACGAATGGGATTTTGACGGCGATTGGGTGATTGAAGGTTTCAGCTTTCCTTTCTGACTGTGGACCTTGAGATGTTCGGGGTGGTCTTGAGACTCCATTCATTTTCCATCATGATTCTCCATCAGCATCCATCAGCCTTTCAGCCTTTCTTTTGCTTTGGGTTAGCTCAAGCATGCCCATATACCATATACCTCAGAGGAGCTCTTCTCTTATCCTTCTTGCGCCTGCGCGCGCTTGTCAGGTACTTGGACATGCAATTTGAGAAGCAGTCAGCTTTGATCGGCTTGCTGCTAGCTCAAGGGCGCAGTACTTCAATCACTTCCCCCTCTCTCCTGAGCCCCACCTCAGCAAAGCCGTTCGCGTTCAAGCTGCGAGAGCAAGTCAGCACCTTTTCCAGTGGTCAGGTGGACAGCGAAGGTGCTGAAAGCCACATGCAGCTGCCGTTGCCCCAGACCCACACTCGGGATTTAGAGGAGCAGCTGCACATGAAGCAGGGCGAATTGATGCGATCTTCAAGTCTTTTGGCCGCTCTATTCGTATTCGTCCAGTAGGGTAAGGGGGTAGGGGATGCGTAAGGGATGGTAGGAGGGTCAGGCAGCACACTCATCCGCCAAAGAATTGCGCTCACTGACCCTTCACACATGGCCACGCACAAAGCAGGAATAGGCTTTCACAAAGCAGAAGTCTTGCGACAGTGGGGGTGAAGCACTGCAGTGAACTGGATGAAGTTCTCTGTTCAGGTTTTAAGCGACCCTTTCTCATGGTTGTGGACACGCTAGGGGTGGGTCAAGAGTACTCGCACCTCGGTCTAGGTGAAGACCTCCCGAACCAACTGCTACACCGTAACTGGGGATTTGGAGCATCTTTCCGGTTCCATGCTCGCTTCTGCCAACGTCCCGAATCCCATTATGAAAAGACTTTGTGACAGTGCTTCTCTACGCATGCGACCTGCACTGAGGCGGTTTGAGGGATAGCTCCCGGACCTCTTTTGTGCGGCACGCGCAGCTCGACCGGCATTTGAAAGCGCAAGCCCAAGCCACGCGGATCGCGCATGCGAGGGCCAACACCCTGAGAGTCACCAAGCAGGCAGGATGTGTCGATTTGGACGGGATGGGACTTCCAAGGTCCAAGGACACGACATGTTCCGGCGGAACTCCTTTTTCGGGTTGGTTTTTGCGGTTGACCTCGAGCGAAGGGAGCCCGGTTTTTTTCAGCTGGCGAAGCTGAAGACACCTGTTTCTTTTTCTTTCTGTGGAGGTGGAGTTGGAGAAAACCAGCTTGAGAGACTTCGCTGAAAGAGTGGTGACCGAGCTGAAAAGCTTTGCATGAGACATCATGAGACCTGACGCCATTTCAAAGGATTGATGTGCCTTCCTATTTCTTAGCTTTTATCTAGAGTATTTAATATCAAAGCTTTTTGTTATTTTAATGTTCCTCCTTTGAGCGTTTGTTGTATCGACCGACCTTTCGTTAGACCCTGTTTTTTTTTAGGCGTTTCTCCCAACTGGAGGAACGCCGAAGGATGAGGAGTCTTGAGCTTCTTTTGATGCTGGATGACTAAGGTGACATCGACCGTTTTCGTCAACATCATTATGGCAGTGATTCTCTTCAATTCCATCCTTTTGGGAGTGGAGATTGATGTATCCTCCAGGTTGGGTCAAGAGGATATCCCTGGCTGGTTTGCTGTGGTGAATGCAGCTTGGTCGAACTCTCCAAGCAACCCCTCTCATCCACGTCGCGCAGATTCACGCAGCCAGCTCTCATGACCATTCGCCCATGTTTCCTCTTGAGTTTCTTGGTGGCTTAGGCGTGTATTGTGGCCGTGTTCCTGGGTGAGACGTTGCTGAAGATCTATGGCCTTGGCTGTGGTAGATTCTGGAAGGGCGAAGAGGCGGTCTGGAAGCCTGGAAAAGCCAGCAGTTTTTTTGATGTTCTTCAGGTGATGGGACGTTACTAGGAGCAAAGGGCATCGCTACTAGGAGCAAGGGCCTTACTACTAGGGACAAGAAGCTAGTAGAAACAATATACAAATAGATTCAATTTAGGACGGTGAAATTACACCCCCGAATCTTCGTACACGATCAGACATACGATGGGCTCTCCAGTTTTTGTGCATTTGTCCAAGCATACACCGTAGCGCCTTGCTAGCAAAGAGGCCTCCTTCTCAACGGGTTTAGTCCTACTTGTAGTTACTACAGTTCAATGACGGCGGCAACACCACCATCACCACCACCACCACCAGCAGCAGCAGCAGCAGCAACAACAACAAAACAAAAACAAACAACAACAAGAGGTGCTGCTGCTGCCAGTCTTTTTGTTGCTCGTTTTTGGAATCAACCAACTGCGACGACGAGGACTGGTAACTCAGGCTGACAACAATGACTGACTACTTGTGTCAGTACTATCCCTACTGCCACTACCATTTCTATTTCCACTGCTGCCACGACCGACTACTGACTAATACAACTGCAAACAGCCACCATGTTAGTCTATAAGTCTATAACTGCCTCTACTCCTGCTCGTTCTCCAACTCCTACTCTTATTGGCATAAGCACGGGCATTGCCATGAGAAAGGTCAGTACTGCAACCAAATGCTACCAAGAGACACCACTACTGACCCTTGTCATTGATGGGGTGACTGCTGTGCACCACCAACACCAATAGTCACCGACATCACCTCGGTCACAATCGATCACCATCGTTTTTGAGGAATATTTTTGACTTCTTCATTGTCTCGTTCTCGGTGGTGGAGACAGCCCTGGACTGGTGGGTGCAGACGATGGCAACCTCTGCAGATGGCAGCAATTCCTTCCGCGTGGTCAAGACCTTGCGCCTGGCGCGCACCCTCCGTGGGGTTCGCATCATTCGGCTTTTCCGCTATTTCAGCGTGCCTCAGACGGCCAAAGATTGATATGATATGATATGATTTTGGATGGTGGGATGGGATGGGACTGGGGGGTTGTGCAATTTCTCAAGGGGGTTACTTTTGCGGCAGCAAGAGGGCGATGGCCGCAGATAGAGTGATAGATAGATAGATATATATATAGAGAGAGAGAGAGACAGAGAGAGAAAAAAGAGAGGGGTGAGGTGAGGTGAGGTGAGGTGAGTTGAGAGTGGAGAAGGGGGCCTCTCGTTGCACATGGAGATTCTTCTCGTACACCAAGCTGTGGCTTTGAGGCTTTGAGGGGTTTGATCCTCTCCATCTTCAGCACCATGGGGTCTTTGCTGTGGACTTTGTTACTGCTGCTGATTTTGTTCTACACCTTCAGCTGTATGTTTACACAGCATCTTGCTTGCAGTGGGAGTTTTCTGCGGGATCTGGGCTGACAGACAATGTGCTGAGCCACTGCGCCTAAGGTTGGTGACAGACCACTGCCGCTACACAACCATTGCCAATACAACATCCAACACGACCAACCACAATGCCATACCCGAATGCCCAGAGGAGTTGCATTATTTCTCCAATGTCATGGACGGTGCCTGGGCACTTTCAAATCGTTGCTCTTAGGCTTTTTAGAGTTTCATGGGTTCCTTGTCCTTCTTGGTTACGAAAGCCAGCCTTCGTAGAAGGCGCCAGCTGAGTTGTGCTTGGCGAACGAAGTGAGTAGTTAGGGGGTCTGGGGGGGGGTGGCCCGCAAAAGGTACACGTAAACTCGGCACATGCTGGGGGAGGAGGGTGCACGGATGGAAGGTTTTTTGAGGTTGTGTTAGGTGATTTTTGAGGGGTGGTGATGCAAGAAATGCAATTTGCATCACTTGCATCATCTGAATGGTAAGGTGTAGTTGGCACCTTGCCAGGTAAAGATACCCAGGAGCTATAGTGCAGTTACCAGGTATAGTACTTCAAGTTCCCTTTCCATCAACCGCTCGATAACCTTTACACACGCACAGCAATCCGCAGCTTTGAAGCCTCATGCGCGCGATACCTGGGAACAGAATTGTAGCTACCCTGGGTCCGTAAAAATGCTATGTTGCTATACCTCACCCTATACCTCTTACACACCTATATAAGTTCAAAGCACGAATGAGACTTCAAAGCTGTGGTTTGCTCTGCATGTGTAGAGGTTATCGAGCGGTTGACGGAAAGGGAACTGGAAGTACTATACCTGGCAACTGAATTGTAGCTACCCTGGGTATCTATACCTGGCAAGGCGCCAGCTGAGTAAGAAAAGGGGTTCAGGGGGGGGGCCTGAGAAAGCACACTCGAAAGTAGGTGGTGTGTAGGGGTGCACGGAAGCAAGGTTTTTGGAGGTGCATTTTGAAAAATGCAATTGTCTTCGGTTGGTTGCAGTGCTATACTTGGCAACTGAATTGTAGCTACCCTGGGTATACCGGGCAACTGCCTTGTAGCTGCCCTGGGTCCGCGCGCGCGCGCCTAAATCACAGGCAGCCGGGAGCCAGCAAGGCGCGCGCGCGCGCGGACCCAGGGTAGGGAAATTGAAGTGGGATACCTGGCAACAGAATTGTAGCTACCCTGGGTCCGTATAAATGCTATGTTGCTATACCTCTTACACACCTATATAAGTTCAATGCAAGAATGAGACTTCAAAGCTGTGGTTTGCTGTGCGTGTGTAAAGGTTATCGAGCGGTTGACGGAAAGGGAACTTGAAGTACTATACCTGGTAACTGAATCGTAGTTACCCTGGGTACCTATACCTGTGCCAGCCGAGTACGAAGGGGGATTCGGGGGGGTGGCCTGAGAAAGCACACTTGATTTTAAAACGCCGGCTTTGGTTTTGCAGCTTCTCAGGTTACACTGAACTTGTTGTCGAACCGTTTGTGCATGCAGCATCAAACAGCTGCAGCCATTTGGCCGTCAGGCATGGTGACACTCTTCATGTCCATCACTGGTGGGATCAACTGGGAGGATGCATATGACCCCTTGCGGGAAGTCTCATGGGTGGCACAGTGGCTTATGAACTTGTACATTGTCATCGGGTTTTTCACCATACTCAACGTTGTAACGGGTGTGTTGCTTGGCTGCCTACTTTCCCAGTGGCACATGACTTGACACGTTTGTAATACTTGAGCGACCTGGGGTCAGCTTGTTTCTGGCATGCCTGTGCACAGCGGCTTTTGATGGGTGGTGGACAGTCTTGCTCGTAGAAGCACGCTGTGGTTGTCGCCCTGGTCTTTTAACCATGGCAGGTTTGTCCTGGAAGTTGGTTCGGTTGCAAGCGCCGGGTCGATCAGTTCTGGAAAGCCTTCTGCCTGCTGCGCCAAAACCGACACGGTTGCCCTTTTTTCGCCCCTTGTGGCGCTCCCCGGCAGGTTTGTGAACACTGCCATTGAGAGTGCCAGTGCGGACAAAGATATCGCCACCCTCAAGCAGATGCATAAACGCCTGGAGAACATAGCTTCTCTACGAGAGGCAAGGGGCCCGCGGGATCTGTGTTCGGACTGGTCCGCTGGTCGCCCCAACGAGGGACCTGTAGGGACACCTCAAAGAGCTCTTTGGGTTTGCTTAGGATTAATTAAGGAATCAAGGAATTTCACATGCGGAGATGTAGCAATAAGATCAGATGCTACACGGAGCCTGTTATGCAGAGTCAGCTTACTATGGTTTTGGTGCAAAAGCCAAGAAATCGTCATTGCAGGTTCATCTCCAATCACTCCAAGTCCTTGTTCCAGGTCTTCCATGAGATGGATCAGGCAGAGACGAACGAAATTAGCATCGACGAGCTGGAGGTTCAGTCGTGGGTGACCTGCGTCATGATGTGCCAACTTTCTTTGCGTCATGAAGCAGTTTTGCAAATGTGAAACACTCAGCCAAAGCTGAGAAGACGAGACTTTCAACACAGCTTCAAGTTATCTTCAACACAGCTTCAACACAGCTTCAAAACCGGGGGGGTACGGTAGAGGCAGGCAGTAGCTAGAGGTAGGTAGCTAGTAGCTACCTAGCTGGTACCTGACTTAAGCTACTAGTTACTAGTTACTAGTTACTAGTGTGGACACAGGATAGCTCACGCTTCTTCCAGGAAGCTCCCCCCGCCACCCTGAAGGCGGCGGGGGAAGCTTCCTTGAAGAAGCGCTCGCCCTATTTATTTGGTTCCTCGATTTTTAGGGAAAAAATAAGCTACTAGCTTCGACCATCTCTTCGAGGGGACAGAAATTGACTGGCTCATGTACTCCCTTAAACGATAATGGAAGTGGAAAATATATAGTCAGCCTGTTTGGGGCCAGAGTGTAGCCTTTTTGGGACAGCTCCGTGAGCTTGATCTTTCACAAGACGCTACGGCCATATTGAAAGGACGACCGGTGAGCTTTTTGTTGGGCTGCGATGAAGAGGCAGCGGCAAAAACCAAAAGCTCCAAACCAAAAAAAGGCCGAGGTATGCCGAGGGCCATCACTTGAGTGAGTTGTTTTTTCCCCCATGATTAAGACGTTTTCTTCTTGGGATGGTGCCCATGGCCCCAGCGCCGCAGGAGGCTTTATCGGAAAACAAGCTTGGACCCTTCATGGAGTCTTTAGGCGACCTGGAGTGAGCCAACGGAACTCCGCGGAATTCAATTGTTTGGGAGACTGAGGGTCCATACAGAAGGGTGATCAACTTGTGATTCCTCTCCCGTCGAAATATGTGCAGGGCACTCTTCCGTTAGGTCTTCACACCGGGTACAGACTCAGCCCCTTCCAATCCAGCAATTTATGCTCCAGCACGGGCACATGCGAGGGTTTCCCCGTGCATCGTATGTTGGGGTACCATGTCAGGGTTCATGGCACAGTTTTTATCCAGCCATTTCATGCTCGGATGCCTTTTTTGTTGTCGCAACATTCTTCTGTGAAGCCTCCTTCCCATTTCTTCGCATCGTTCATGGCCTGGTTTTGCGTAAACGGCAATGTGACATGGTCAGTGAGGGTTCCTTTCGTATCCGTCGTATCCGTGCTGGAAAGGGACAGACCAGCTAGCTCAGCTAGCAGCCATGCAGCAGGTTTGGGTTTACTCTCAGCTAGATGAACCAGGCTTTGGACGGTTTTCGTGAAGAAACATCAGATGCGTACGTATACTGTAAGTATAACTCGTTCCACATGTTGACGCAACATTTTGCGGTCATGTCTTCTTTCAAGACAATCTCATGTCAATGAATCTGCTAAGTTTCAACTTGTGCTGTTTAGTGGGGTAGCCGTGAAGGACACCCATGTTGTGGCCGGGGGATGACACAGTATCCAGATCTTGAGGGTCAACTGAGCACTCCAATATCTTTGCATCTGTAATTTTTCTTGTGCTCCAATGTGATGAACAAATTTTGTTTTTAACACCATGTGCATCCTTCGGCTGAGGCATTGACACCGAGGACATTTGGGGACTCTTCTTGTTGATCGATGCAGACCACAACGGGGTAGTAGATATCGATGAGTTTGTCAATGGATGCATGCAACTGCGGGGCCCAGCGAAGAGCCTTCAAGTGGCCAAGATGAGCAGCTTGGAGCCGAACGGGTCACAGGTCAGATGAGCTGCACCAGATGGCGAGTTCCATCGAGTTTTGTTGAGATTTGGCGAGTTTGATATCCATAATTAATCGATCTAAGACCAATTCAGGCGAGATGCCGAGTCCGCACACCAGGCGTAAATGGACACTGGAAAGCCGATTCCCATAGCTAATGATATCGCGGCCTTTCGAGCAGGCGGCGCCTGTCGAATCAGGTTGCACCTAGTAGATTCCTTTGCTAGTAATTACAATTAAATTCTTATTGTTACTACTAGCGAGGCACTTGTTACTACTAGCGATGCACCTGTTAGTAGCACCTAATTGCCAGTTTATCAGTTTCATCTTGCCAAGATTTCTTGAAATGCATAGTCGATCGTGGAGTATGATTGTTGCAGTGCAGATTTGCTGCCTATCCTCCTATGCATGCCTGTGGATTTGTTTTCTCCTCTTTTCCGCGGTGAGCCACGTGAGGCTATGAAAACAAGTTGACTCGCGCCCGAGCTGCAGTTCATTGAGCCACACCTGCCCCAGCAACCCCAATAAAATTTATGAGTGTCCCAGCTGGCTCGGCCCAGTTCTGCCTTAGGGTTCCCGCGTCAGGTCAAGCGATCAAGACGATCTCCGAACGATTGGGTGAGATCCAGCAGCTGCTGAGGCTAGACGCGTCCGTGACACGTCCTTCACGACGGGTGGTCCAAACCGCATTGTGAGCATCTGTAGCCTTAAAAGTGCTACATTTTTTTCAAGATGAGCCCAGAGGAGCTCGATTTCTTTTTTTTGCTGCGGAACTCCGCAGGTTTCTTGGCTTGCAATGTCGCCCCGTGACCTTTGATTTGATTGTTGAACTTGGTTGGACGAGCACCATTTCCAGTCGAAGACTTCGCCCCACCCTGTGTCAACGGATGTCAACGAAGTTTAGATCCGCTCACAACGGAAGGTTCTGAACCCTTCTAAATGAGAGGTTTGGGGTGCTCTTGGCCATTTTGCCTCGTGTCGGCCAAGTCGACGCTGGAGAATCGAAAAACACGCTGCTGCCTCAACTAAGCAGCATCAAAACTGTGAGCTGGGTAATGAGGAGATGCCTTGACAAAATGTCAGGCATGATTTTGCTGGTGTGTTGCTGGGCATCTTCTGAACTGCGAGGAGCAGTGATCATTTTTGGATAGGAACTCGCGGAGAGCAAAGGGTGCGAAGCTGCCATTGCTGATGCCTCACTGTTCGTGGTTGCAGCAAAAGGGTGAGAATGTAAGACTTGTTGAGAATCAATGGAGATCAGACCCTTATCGCTCGTGCTAGACTGCTAGACTGCTAGACCTTGAGTACGTGTAGCTTGGTCGACTTTAAATAGCAACTTCAAAATGTAGTGCCCTGATGGACGTGATTGCGGGAGATTGGAATCTTTGGGTGTTCAGGACCGTGAGCCTCAAGGAACAAGCAGCTACTAGGAGCGCGACGGAGCCCAACTCGGTTCCATGGAGGTCTCCGAAAAGGGTTCGATGGCAGATGGTGCAGGTGATGGCGAGAGATCATCCGAAAGCAAATTTGAGTCAGACGATGAGCCCGTTGAACTTACGGGTGAGTTCGGGATCTTGAAGATGCATATGGATGTCCATTTCGAACGCCAGGCCAGGTTTTTCGAAGAGCTCCTCACCACGAAGCTTGGTGGACACGTCACATGGAAGACACGTGGGAACTATCTATGTTATTGAAAACGCAACGGTTTTTTTTTTTGGTTACAATTTTTCATCCTAATGACCCTTTTGCACTCCTCATGGCGGGCCTATGTGGGCCTTTAGCAGTGCATCTTTCGAGCGTGCCCGGGTTTGCACACCTTTGTGCCTAACCAGATTGTCATGGCCACCGGTGACATGGGGTCTCATGCATGCAGCCCTCGACACATACACGGATGAGTCTGTACTATATACAAACTATTATGAAGCCACTATTCCCTTTGAGCATGGCAAATCATGGGGAAGGAGATTGGAATTCAGCACGAAGACCAAGCTACAATATGCGCAGCGAAGCCGTACCCCCACTGGGGGTGCGAAAAGTGTTGAAATTTCCTTACATGACCTTGATGGACGTGAAATTCTTCTCAAAGAGAATGCCGTCCAAAGGTGAAAGAGCCCGTACTTGCTATGGAAGACTGATGGAATATGGCCGGGGAACCAACAGCAGAGCAAATGTTGGAGAATGGTGACTTGAAGGTACCACTCAACTTGCAAAATCGAGATGAAGATGCTTGGAGGTGCAAGTGCCCGAAGCTTTGGAAAAGGAACCAGGCTGGAGATTCAATGAGCATGGACTGCTAGTTGGAGGCTAGTGGCTTCAAGATTTGTGGACCCCACATTCATTCCAGAAGTGGAAGAATCACCAGAGTTGATGGGAACCACTGGTGAAAAGAGGAGGTCGATGGCCAATGCCTGAATATTGTGAAAGCATGATGAAAAAAGGATGAACTTGATGAGCAATTCTTTGATGATAGTGCAATCCTTCAATCTCAACCTTCAGCTATGAGCCAGCGCCACCAGAAGATATGGGATTCATTGCACCAGGATACAAGAAGATTGAAAGCAGAGAGCAGAGAAAGACAGAAGTGGAGCTGGCAATCGAAGAGAGTACCCCTACTCCGCCGGAGAAGGAGGTAGAAGGTCAGAAAGAAGAAAAGAAAGATGAAGACCTTGAATGTGAACTGCAATTGACAGTTGAGCCCAGTGGATGTAGACAAAGTCTTGGTGGATGGAATAGAGTTGACTAAGGATTCTTCTATGGCAACTTTGAGGGCAGCAGGCACTTCAGGCAGCAGAGAAAAAGAGTTGCGTGGAAGAAAACGGACTACAGTGGCAGAGCGAACTCAAAGTACCAATTCGATCGCTCACACTACCAAGAAGGAGTGTGAAACATTTTCATTGTAAAACACATGTGGCTTGTTACGCGTAAGTGGCATCATAGAGAGCTGATGCAGCCCTTTTCTGGATCAAAAGAAAATTCGCATACATGAATTTTCCGATTCATCTCAGGTCCTTTTTACCAGTCACCCTATAGGACGCACACACAGACATTCCATATGTGAGACATGATTTCAAAACAAAAGTATATAGATAAACAGGTGTGTGTAACGCAGCTGCGGCAAAGCCATTGCTTCCCCTGCTTTCTGTGGCCATGCTGAAAATCAAGACTTGGTTACCCAAGGTTTTGATGCAGAACGTGGGTATATCAAAACATTTTGGGGTCGAGCACTACTTCGCGAACATTTTGGCATTGTAAGTGGTTCCAGTTTGTGTTTTGGGGCTGCTTTGGGCGGTTTTCGATCTCACCAACCTGGTGGTCTTCTTCCTTCGGTCCCGGCTTGTGTGTGACACCCAAACTGCTCGGCAGTAAGGAAGTCGAACACAATTCTTCGACAGCGTACCAAAGAGAGCATGCTCAAAATGGCTGGCACTGAAATGGCGCTGCCTGAACCTCGCGATGCTCAGCGGACAACGACATAGAAACGGTTTTTCAGTGAAAAAACTGCCACTGCCGCGATCAAGTGAGTCAAACAAAAAAACCACGGGTCCCGTTTGGCAAAGCATGTTTTGACGTGTTTTGGTGCGTGGCTTTGGGGTGGCAAAGCCACACGCCGTTCCCAAGCATCCGGCCTCGGCCGCAGTTCCCGCTCGCCGAGGTTTCCCAAGGAAATGCCGCGCTTCAGCTTCCAGTGCCACAGTTGACCACGGCGAATTCGTTTCGGTCCACCATTAGCCACCGGTCGAGATTGAGAGTTGTTTGGGGCTAAGAAAGCTGGCAAGAAAGTGAACATGGCAGGATGTATATATATATATATAATATATATATAATTGGGATAGAAGGAGTCTATGAGGTGCACAGTGGATGTCACAAGTTCCGCCGTTCAACAGCACAAGGAGGGCCATCAGACAACTGACACTCCGTTGCCATGGCCTGGCTCCTGAGGTTCCTCGCCGCCGGGGCGACGTGACAGCGTCCGAAAGTCCTTCGTCCGTGCTGGCATGGAGGACAAGCAGGGCCGTGCACGGGCAGCTGCTTCCAGGATCACCTTTGCTCGTGAGGGGCGGGCGCATTCAGCTGCTGACCGGGTGGATTGGCGGGGGCGCATTCAAGCCTTGGTGTCCTGGTGGAACGGTCAACCCAGCAGATAGATTGGACAGCGGACAGCGACACATGTTCTTTTTTGTTCACTCTCTCCCTCTCTCCTCGGACGCCTTTGCTTTGAAGTGTCTTTGGGGATTCTAAATTCTGCCCATGTTGCTGTGTTTTGCTGTTTGTTTGAGATGACTCACTTCTTCCTGTTGGCTTTACCTTGCATCTCAGCATTCTTTTGATAATCCCTCTTAAAGTACAATGCGGCAAACCACACTCAAGAAACTTGAATGCAGTTGCAAGTGGCAAAGTGTATGCACTGAGACTTTAGCTCTGAACACTCAGGTGATTTCGCCTTTCTTCACCAACTTCATCATGTTCTTGATTGTCACCAATGCGGTCCTGCTTGGGGTCGAGATTGATGTATCAGCCAAGGTTGGTCAGGATGATATTCCCACCTGGTTTGGCACACTCAATTCTTGCCTGGTCTTTGTTTTTGTGAGCGACACCTGGCGCGGCCCTTTTGCTAGGTTTGCTTTGTTGCTGCCACACGAAGACTCCAAATTGAACATCCATTCCCCGAAAGTAAAATGTTCAGTTTTCGGGGTAGATGGCGCATGACATGATGTTGTTCGCTTTGCGATGTTTGCCGACCAGGAAACAGCTTTGAAACTCATTGGTCTTGGCTGTCAAGAATTCTGGAGAGGTGAGGAGAGTGTATGGACTACTTGGCTGCACTTCTTTTCAACCACTTTTACTTTTGCGCTTTTGACTTGTCACTGATCCTGTGCCAAAAACGCACATGCCAAATCTAAATTTGTCCGACTGGTACTCGCTGCCGCTGCGGGCTGAGAACTGCACCCAGGAACGTTTTCGACTTCACCATCGTCACCCTGTCTGTGGTGGAAACCATGGTGGACTGGTGGGCACAGTCCATCTCCAGCTCGGCCGATGGATCCAATAGCTTCCGAGTGATGCGCGCCTTGCGCTTGGTGAGGACCCTTCGCGGCTTTCGCATCATCCGCCTCTTCCGCTACTTCAGCGTGCCTCAACAGCACTTCAACAAAAAGAGCAACATCGAGGGACTGCAAGCCAGACACTGGGCATGGTACCGGCCACCGACAACCTCCCTGAAAACTCACTTCAAAAGTCAGGTTCTAGGAGCAAAGAAGCTACTAGGGGCTCCTGGCATCGCTACTAGGAACAAGGGCCTTGCTACTAGGAACAAGAAGCTACTAGGAAACATCGCTACCTGGTTCTGACATGTTCTCCGATCGTTGTCGACTCCCATCCAGAGCTGACACATGAAGAGAATGGCTGCTTCCGCCTTCAGAGGGTGCATGTAAATCATGTAACGATTTGGGCCATGGATGGACTGGGAGGCAAGTCTAGATGGGATTGCCACAGCTGGCCCCAAACAGACGGTTTTTCTTTGTTTTTGCGGTGATTTTGGGGCAAGTAGCTGGAGGCATTGAGGGGCCTCATCCTCTCCATCTTCAGTACTATGGGATCTTTGCTGTGGACATTGCTCTTGCTGCTGATCCTTTTTTATACCTTTGGTTGTATCTTCACCCAGTGACTTTGGCTTAACTTGGATCTCTGTGCTGGGCGCGCCAGCAGTTTCAATGCTTTTGCCTTGTGTCAGAAGTTGGAGACTTCAAGCAAGTACGGCAGCTGATGACAAACCTGGAGAACAGCCAAGGCTTGTAACAGATCATTGTCGCTTCATGGCCATTGAGCAGAATGCAGATAACAATGCCATACCTGCTTGCGAAGATAACTTGCAGCCCTATTGGGTGAATGTCATGGACAGCACCTCAACTGCAATCTCTGCAAGGATTTCCTGAAATGCCTTTAGAAGCTACTAGTAGATTCGGTGGAGGCCATCGCAAGAAGGTTGGAGGCCATGCTACTAAAACAAGAGGCTACTAGGAACAAGATGCTACTTCGTTTGGCAGTTTGGCACCATGCACCAAGCCGGACTGTTTCCTCTTCATCCTTCTTGGCTTATTGGCTTCTGAGACTTGCCAGGCATGATGACGTTGTTCATGTCCATCACCGGCGGGATCAATTGGTTCGAGGCCTACGAGCCCCTGAGACAAGTCTCCTTGATGGCGCTGTGGCTCTTCAACCTCTACGTCGTGATCGGCTTCTTTACCATATTGAACATGGTCACTGGCGTGTGCCTTGGGATGCGAGGAAACGAAGGGTGGGAAACGAATCGGGGGCTGTATCTTGGATTATTTCGCCTCGGCGGCCATTTGCGGCTGTCGATCACGAGTCAAGAAAACTGTCACCGTGAGTGTTTCAACCCGCGCACATACGCGCATACAATTGAAAGAAAGGGTGTATATACATATACACCCGCGAAGTTTAACATCATCAAAATAGAAAACCCAAAAATCTGTGTGGTATGTTAGCGTGAGGTGCCCTATTTGTGAAACAGCCCTGAGAGCGGGCCATGTTAGTATGGACACACTGGGGGAAACATGCTTGGAGAATTTCCCAGGTGTATGTTGCACATTGAGACTAACATGGATCAGAGTGGAAGGTTTTTGGTTCGATCTTGCACATGCTATGTTAGTGTCGCTGCCTGGTCGCCTGAGTGTTGTGTTCTAGGTTAAGGTTCTAGTGGAGCAATTTGTCCTTTGGTTCACTTAAGCACTACAGTAAACTACAGTACAGTATGTTACTCTTCCTTGGACTCAGGGCAAGGTTTCAGTTGACAGCTAAGCTAAGGTCCACGTGGTGGCTGATCATTGCAAAAAAGATCATCTGGTTCCAATTTGTTTGCATACTGCATTTCCTGTCACACGGTATGAACCATCAGCCACCAGAACGAAGAGAACAAAGACATACAGAATTCCGGGAAAGGAAAAAGGCCAGCCGATCATTGTTCATGTGGCATGTTAGTGTGAGGTGCCCTATTTGTGAAACAGTCCTGGGAGCGGGCCACAGAGTTTGGCAGCTGCATGGAACACGGTGAGGCTAACATGGATCATTTCCAGATACTGGGTTCCCTGGATCTTGGCTACTTCTGACGTATTCCATGTTAGCATCTATTAGCATCTCAAGGGTGCTGCATTTCTAGTGCGCCAATTTTCATTCCGGCCTTGTAGTGTTCTACGTTAGTCTCCGGAATCACCTTTTCCTCTCATACCGGTGCTTTCCATATTCCCCGGGACTTCTAACGAGCAGGTGGGCCATGTTAATGAGCACTGAGAATTGGAGCCACGTTCCATGATAAACTTCGCCGGAGTATATTCCGATGGACCATTCAGTTCAGCCATTGGAGCAACCGATGCGGGGCTATTTCGGCATTGCATGCATGTTCGCTTGCTGAGCAGTGTAGATCTAAGTGCTAAGGTTCGTGAACACCGCGATTGAAAGTGCCAGCGCGGACAAAGATATTGTCACTTGGCATGGGGAAGGTGAGAAAATGTGAGACAGAAACACCTTTTTCCAAAAAGCATTGACAGGGTAAAGGTGGACCCGGTTAACAAACAGTTGTCCGTGCGACGTGCTCTTGCAGGGTTTGGGAAGCCTAAGCATGCGCATCATGTACACAGTGTGATGTTGGTTGACCGCGAGCCATCCAACAGATCCAGCTGCATTTTGCAGGGGTGGCCCCGTTGTTTTTGGTTTGGGAATCCCGACCCCGAGAACACACCTAAGTCGCCACTGCTTCCTGCTTCCTCCTCATTCTTTGGTCGGTCGGGCTCGAACGATCCTCTTGGCTAGGCCACGCTGAAGCAGATGCAGAAGCGCTTGGAGAACATGTCCTCCCTGAGGGAAGTTTTCCAGGAGATGAATGCCTTCAATGTCAACGAAGTGAGTCGCTGAGCGCGATGGGGGTCCCGACTGGATCCCAGCCACCCACAAAATCCCGGTGCAGTTTCGGTTTGAAGACGGTTGTCATGGATACTCCCATACAGTCCTTGCCTCACTACATTCCAGGGCTGAGGCCTCTTGAGAGGGCTGATATCATGTTCGGTCTATCCAAGGTTTGGACGATCTTGAAGATGCCCTAAGCCAGAACAAGCTTGGCACATTTATGGAATCCCTGGGGATTTCAACGGATGATGTGCCACAGCCGCAATTGAAGCCGCTCTTGAAGTGATTGTACACGATTTGTTGTCGCAAAACTCGGTTGCGTGGGCAATTTGAGTCCAGCAGAAAAATCCTTTGCATAAGCAAGGTCCTGCATGCACGAGAGCCAGCCATCCGGTCGAGGCTCAAAGCCTGCAGTTATTTGATGCTACTTGACTCCGCCATACTCAATGCCATACTCCACCAACTGACCGGCGCAACCACTAAAACAAGTCGTGAGGACCTTGTAAGTGCAGATCCTGCTTCGGTGGTTCAACAAAGCAAGACTGCGAACATGTCCACGCTCCTGCCCTGTGTCGCTTTGGCCCTCGTGTTCACAGAATTTACTTTTATAGTTACTTGATGTTACTTGATGGTGTGCAATCTTCCACGCTGCTGCCACCTGCACTTCGTGCTCGGGCCACGCTCTCACGCTTGGCATGCCAGCAGAAGAAGTCCACAAGTCGATGCTTTCGAACTGGTCCCCCGCTGGCGAGATCCGTGTGTCCAGCACCGCAAGCAGTCTCCAGCACCCTGGCTGCCGCCCTTTCGCATCAAATCCTCCAGCCTGCCTTTCCCTTCGACAGTGTGACGCAACCCCTCGTGGAGGGTGAGGGTTCCACATCTCATGGGGTGCCGACACCAGATGAAGACTTGAAAAAACATGCATGGTTCCTTAAATAACTATTCCAAGGGATATGCAGGTTACTGGAATTTGAATTCTTAAACTGGAATAACTATTTGGGGGACTCCGGGGGGGTCTGGACCATTGACAAAGAAGTGGAATATTTGTTCAAGAGTAGATAGTTAAAACATGTTAAAGCTAAGATGAAAACCATGAGGCTAAATTATTCTGAGGTATGTTGACATGGGGGTCCCTTTAAGGCACCAGCCATGAAGAAAACGTTCCCTCCTGCTTGATGCAACCTGGTCGGCTTATGAAGCATGGCTTCATGCAGCTTCGCCTCCATTCGCCTTCCAGGGCCCCATTGAGCCAAGCATACCGCGCCCAACACCAGAAAACCCTGCTGCGGGCCGAACAGGCTCTCAATCCGGATGAACTGCATGGAGTCACGTCGGCCACACCACCACCCCTTTGAGGCTTCTGCAGCTGCTATCTCCTCAGACCTTGAGATCCAGCTGCTTCTGACAAGCACCGGTGTGACCATGTGCCTCCGCCGTTCATACCATCAAAGAACGGAGGCCATCGCTATTAGGTTAGAGGCCATTGCTATTAGGGTGGAGGCCATTGCTAATAGGTTGGAGGCCATCTATTCTTGTCCCAACTCCACATTGTACCGAGCTTTCTTGTCCCAGGTTGTAAGACCGGGCAACTTTTTCTTCTGTTGTGCGTTGCGCACAGGGAATCAATAGGTCTTTACACTCATTCCCGAAAACCTTCGGTCGCACCAGGTTTACGATTCATGTAGCTTAGCCGTCCTCCGCATACCAGATGCATCAGATCAAGCTTGCCGCTCTGCTTGTCCATGGCGTTTCTATTCTCTCTTGCCGCCCACCGACTTTGTCGCTTTGGAAGAACGCAGCAATGTCAACAACAAGGTCCACATCTACGTGCTTTACTGCTGCCGGCTCTCTGCTACGAGCGTTTTTGCACTCACGGCCTACCAGCTCCAAGACCAAATGCCGAGCCTCATTCTAGACCCAGCGCGGCCGATCTTACCCACTGGTTTCTTGCTGCCTTATTATGCGGCCTTGCTGCTTTCCATGTATTACAGCGCCAGGGCCGCCACTTACATTCCCTTGCAGCCATCATTTCCCTTTCCCTTTGACGAAACGTTTTTCATCGTTTGCTTGGTTCTTCTCAGTCCAGTTCCTCGCCTCTCCGACCGTCCCTCCCAAGAGCTTCAGCGCCCCGACCCCATTCTGAGAGCCCACCAGAAAAACAGAGCACAAAAGGTCTATCCGCTCAGTGCCAGTGCTTTTCGCCCAGAGCTGCAAGTTAATAGGGGTTCTTTCTTCTCAATGGTGTGGCCCCGGATCGACGTGCTGGTGCTGGTGCAGGTGCTGGCGCGGGTGCTGGTGCTGGATCGGTGTTTTCTTAGGGCATGCGGGTGCTGTTGCTGGTGTGGCTGCAGCTGCTGCTGCTGCTGCTGGATCGGCATGACATGATGTCATTCCTGGCATGACATGATGTCATCCCTGGCAGGGTGAACAGTACCCTTGGCAGCCTTGGCACCACTCATTGACAACAGAACCTATTAGACATTGGGTTGATTCCCTCAAGCACACTGAGTTTTTTCCTTACACACCCGCTATCTGGGGTCTATGCCGGTGTAATTCACGTCGCTTCGCGACGGTAACCGCCCGCACCGCATGGAAGGGACCAATATTTCCACCGAACATAGCCCCGGAAGTGCCCCCCCCCTCCCGAGCATAGATTCCATGTTTCGAGATAGGGATTTAACATGGCCCAACGTGTCAGGCAATATGAAAGCTATGTTTGGCCACGTTAGGGGGTGTTTTTTATTCCAGTTTATGACGTTCAAGTCCCTATCTCGCAGACACGTCCTTTAGATAGTGACTT